CCCCGTCCCCGCACCTTCCAGGTTTTTGGGTTGAAACTTCTGAGCGGAACAAACACTTCATTCCACCCGCCCTGCTCTCCCAACTCTGCCATCAGTACAGGCTAAAGCTGCAACTTTCAGCTTTCGCCGGGAAACAACTCATTCCACCTTCCACCCGCCACGCCCCAGCCCTGCTAATATTGCATTCCTGCATGCAATATAACGTCAGCTGTGGCCTTGAAGGTCAAACAACTGGTCATCTCAAACTATGCCCCCCAAACCCCTAAGCCTGGAAACCCCCTAAGGCCCTAAAAAGCCGTATAAACCCCAAAGTCCTGCAGCCCAGACTCTAGACTCTGGACACGAGCACTTGCGGTTTTGGGCTCTTGTGATGCAGACTTTTTTGCTCTAAAAAAGCTGACATTCTCAAGCATTCGTGAGTCAAGCTCTTGCAGCACTTGTCGCTATTGTAATTGGCACTGCATCTGAAACCATGGCAAACAATCCTCCGCGACAAAGCCCACCGAGGTGCTTGCGAAGGGTGCCAGCAGCACGTCGAGTCCGACAAGGTTCCTTAGGTTCCAACGATCTGAAACGGCTTGGTTTGAATGCGCCTCGTTTCACGTCGCGTGCCACTCCTCTGCTCTCCCAAGCCAGTGCATCTCGCAGCAGCTTTTCTGTACTACAGTTCTCCCTGTAGCTAGGCTACTCATGCTCCATCTCTGTTTTCATGGGTGCAAGATACCGATACAATATGAAGGCAGCCGCTGATATGTATGTAAGGGACGGGCGCAACTTAATTTCAAACGAATTTAGATGTGCACAAGCAGGGGTGAAGGCTTGCAAACGACAGCAACCGCGACCGAGCCGGACGTGCAAGACCACCACTTTTCAGCGAATGGCCCGCGCTTCCGATCCAAGACCCCTTTGCAGGTAGCCTCTTCATGGTCGGCTCTGTCGCAGAAGCTATCGAACACATAAACACACAACACGTCATTCCACGTAATCTAACGGGGGAAGTGGCCTGTACGACTTTACGTGCACAAACAAGTAATTAAGGTCAATGTCCGTCCGTAGGCACACCACAAAGCTGCACAAGGCCCCTGCGAGAACATGCGCTTGCCCTCTTCAACGCAGTGCCGGCTGGTTGAAGCCTGGACGGTGTGGCAGAGCGCATACTCATTTACTTTTGGTGACAGGAATATGGATCTATAGTACATCATATGCTTTCCTTTTACCAAGAGCCCAGTAGTTGAACAATCTGTCACACTTCCTGGCAAGGCGACTAACTGTGTCCCCGGGACTAACATCACGACCAAAACCAGCACAAGAAGAGTAATCATCATCATGACAACAATAGCAGATGTTCTTTGCAGCACAGTCTGGAAGTTAAAATACCACGCACCGACCTCAGGCAGCACGTGGGAGGGTTAGCTTGATGCCGGCAAATCGGGGGGAGAAAGAGCGAGAGACACACATGCACACGCGCGCGCGCAGAGAGACACACAAAGGAGACTGTCGGCGAGTCAGGTCCGGTGGGACGCAGCGGCGAAAAACCTGAAGGGCCCAAACGAGTTTGGCTCAGAGCAGTCAGAAGAATTTTTGCCCAAATATTGACGATGGGCTTCCTGCGGTCGTGTGCTGGTCCTTCTGCAAAAAACACATCAACCTCCGTTCCGCAGACGCCTCTACGGTCAGAGCATCGCTTGCCCTCTTTTGATGCGCAGCTCTTTGCTGAAAGGCTGTAAGCGAAACCTGAAGCGAAGGTCCTACGACATTGCAGTGCTTTGCACTGCAAGCCAGAACTACAAAACGGTCAAAGTCAACGGCTCGGATAAACGGTTGCAGTCTTCAGGACCTTTCCTTGGATTCAGGGCACTCTTCTCCTAGCCCTAAACAGCAAAACCAAAAAAACAACACGAGGCGTCCATGGTCTCGGGTCTGGAGATGAGGGTTCACGGTCTACCTCAGCATCCAATAGTGAAAAAAAAGCTTGCCTGAAGCACGTGGAAGGTTCCGTCATAGTTGATGGACTCAATGTAGATCTTGCTCTTGTCGACGGTAAAGTCGTAGAAGCCATACCTCAGTCTCGCACAGAACCAAACCAGGCAGGTGGCAACCTCCTCACAGAAGCGGAAGGTGAGTCTTGCAAATGTGGCCATGATGATCAGTGTGCTATACTGCAATATTGCGGCTGTATGACATGAATTCTTTGCGTATGTTACAATAGTTTGTGGTTGTTGCTGAAGATCTTGGTATCAACATGGTCGTGCATATGTAACATATGTAACCTTGCCCATTGCCATTGTCGCTATGTTCTCGGGGGTCTTTCTTTTTGCTGTACTATTAAATTGATTCTTACTATGGTGAAAAGCAAGCAGGATCATTCTTGCTGCCAGTACTCGAAACAGTGCCTAAGTTTCGTGGCATGCTTTTGAAGAGGAGTCGCTGCCCCTCGCCGTACCAGTGCGTGCGGTCCATGGGGTTCGGTGTTGCCTCGGACGTGATCCCTCCGCCACCTGAGGGTAGGGCCTTAATGACAAGACTAGGGCTTGCAGGTGTTGTGATCATCTGGCGGCTACAAGGGGTAGATTATTGCAAGTCATGATTTAGGATTCTCCAACTTCGGCGGCGCAGGGTTCAGGGCTGAAGGGCGTCTTTTCTCGCTCTGTGTTCAAAAAAACTCCCACCTCCGGTCACGATGCAGGTCATGCCACCGGGGCCCGAGTGGTCGTGGAGCTCCTGGTCGTGGCGGTGGCCGGTGACCAAGAGGTCCATGCCCATGCCGTGGAGCTGGGCATAGAAGCCGCTCTCGTGGCCGCAGGGGAAGTGGGTCAAACCGATCTGCCAATCCGCGTTGCTCTGCGGCACCTTCTGCAAAGCCCAGGCCTTGTTCTTGCCCCAGAACTCCATGAACCACTGGTGGCACGAATCCACGTTGGCGGGACCCCCGATAGAAGCACATGTGGCTCCCGGGGGGTTGTGCTTTCGGCCGCACATGTTGTGCTCTGGGTCCTCCTCTGGGGTCTTGGCATCCATGGCATTGCTGTCGATGGCGAAGATATCGATGGAGAAGCCCGAATACTCGATTCTCATGCTGTAGTATGGTGCAGGCATGATCCATCGGTTGCTGGCCCAGGTGTAGGCAATCTGCTGGTCCCAGCCGTTGTTGAACTGCCTGCCTCCCCAGTCGTGATTGCCAAGGACGCTGATCCAGGGCTTGTTGCTGAGGCCACCGCCTTGGTAGACACCCTCGAAGATGGAATCGAACTGATGGCGCGTGGTTGAGGTAATGCCGTGCATGGAGGCGCCGCAATTCTCCTCGATACCTCCCCAATAGAAGTTGTCCCCGACGTTCAAGATAAAGTCCGGGTTCACAAGGCCGGCGCGTGCCCTGAAGGCATTGGCAACCAGGATCTGCGGCTGCGTGTCGACTCCTGGGACGAAGCCGCAGCCCGGGACGCAGTGCTCTCCCTTGTGCTCTCCCCCATCGAAGCAAGCGACAAACTGGTCGTGGGAGCAGAGGAGCTCCGAGTGTGCCTTGTTCCAACGGGTGCGCGGGAAGACGTGGGGCCCCGGAGTCTGGCCGCCGCGGTAGGCGATGATCCGAGGCCGGCAGCCGGGAGTGTGGCCACTAGGCATGCACTCATTGGGAGGGTGAAGGGCTCCATCCATGCCACCCCAATCCCCAATCGCAAAGAAGTGCGCCGGTCCACTCTTCCCAACCTTCAAAGCCGGCCACTCGATGCCGTTGTACTGGAAGGGCGTACTTGGGGGCCCCATGAGGTGCTGGGAAGCGTTCTGGATGGCCTTGGCCCTGGCGCCCAGCTGGAGCTCAGACACCGCGCACTCTTCCGAGTCCCGGTCGCACTCGTCATCGTGGGCCAAGGACTTCTGCTCCCAGCTGTCGGCGCTCCCCAAGCGGATGGAGAGCGCGAGACCGAAAGCCAGCTTCTTCGCGAAGGCCATGGGGCTGCAAAGAATCTCCGAGCACGTGACACTCAGAGTAATCACGAAACGGATGCGTGTTCTTGAGCCTCAATGAGTGGAAGCAACAACTTGTTTGCGCTCTGTTCTGGCCTACCTATGCCACCCCCTACAACCCTGACACCTCTGCACACTCGATCAGACTCGCAGCAGGTAGAAGAGAGCGCTGGGAGCTAAGGCCTGGCNNCCCCCCCCCCCCCCCCCATGGCGAAAAAAAAAAAGGAGCGCATGTTGCGTGGAGTGCGAGGTCGCAGCTTTCTTGCATCTGCAAGGACGTGAGCTATCAGAGAATCCTGTCCGCTGTCGGTGCATCTCGGCCGCCTCGGCAGTTCCTATCCTTGAGGGGAGGGAAGCGAACGGAGTGATGTTGCTGGCCGCGCACGAGCATACGAAGAAAGGCCCATCTCAGCTCTTGCTTGCACTCTGCTGCCAAATCCTGTACTGCAGCGGCCACACGGACGATCGAAGATTCCTTTTCCTGTTGAGACCGCTTTCCCACCGCTTTCGGAGGGGCTACAGGCTAAAGCAAGAGGCTAGGAGCTAAAACACGGGAAAGCTTCTCTCGCTCGCCCGCTTCGAAACTCAGAAGAGGTCTTTGGCCTGTCGGGCAACGCATCTGAGAGTCAAGAGCTGAGAAGAGGTCCTAAGCGTAACATCCGTGGCCGAAGCGCCTTCTTCGCATTCTGCTGCTTCCATTTCGGCTGCTTGAGGAAGTCGGCCACGGCCATGCCGAAGACGGCCTGAAAAAAAGCGCTGCCACTGGGCTGAGTTCCGTGGAAACTCGGCCTCGGCACATGCCGAGGAACCTGGAACTCCTCGTCCGACAGATAGAGCTCCCTCCTTCCGGCAGAAGAAACGAAGGAGCTCTCTCTCTCTCCACCCTTTGCCAGCCAAAAACATGGAGCGAAAATGCAGCAAAAAGGCCCCAAAACCCGGTGTCTTCAGCCGAACTCGGACTCGGATCCTTTAGATCTGCAGGTCACAGGGCCTGGCTGGGTCCACATCCTGCGGCCGGCCGTTGCTAACCCGCAGCTCCTGGGAGACAGGGATGCGTGTGGACGAAGTGAAAGGGGCGTCCTCCTCGACCCTCAACCCTCCCGCCAGGAGTTCTGGGATGGAGATGGTGTTCCACTAAAAAGAGGGGGTGGTTTTACCTCAGTGTTCGGTTGTGAAGCTGTTGGGGAAGTACAGTTGGCAGCGCCCAGCATCAGGAAATAACGATTTGCGGGGTCGTGTTGAGGTGTCGGATGTACAGGAGAAGGACCCTTACGAAGGTAAGATCTGTCGGGTTCAGGAAGGGTTGAGGAATCTCACAACAGTTTACAGGGTCATGTCTTGCATACCTGCCTACGTACCTGCAAAGTATGCATGTCGAAAACGACAGGAAGACGACATACATATCTACAGCGCAGAAAAGTGCAAAGCAAATACACACACAGACATCTTTCCTTCCTTCCTTCCTTCCTTCCTTCCTTCCTTCCTTCCTTCCTTCCTTCCTTCCTTCACTCATTCATTCATTCGTTCATTCATACGTACACTCGTCCCTCTCTCCATGCATGCACAGTGGTTGTACTTTTCGCGCAGCGAATCCCAAATCCCAGCCCAACTCTTGCTCTTGAGCCCGAGACCCCAAAACCCCTACACCTCGAACAAAAACCAAAGCCCAAACCCAAAACGCTGTACACCGTAGACCCCAAATCCGAACAGCCCTGACCTGAAGGAACAGGGAAAAGGGATCTGTGTCTTTGCAAACATGGAGAAGAAAGCCCACCTCGTGAGGGTACTTCCGCTCCGCCGGGTCTGCGTAGTCAGCTCCCTGCTCGGTCGCCTGAAATCAGAGACCCAGACAGAGAGAGAGAGAGACAGGTTCAGACACATTGTATGTGTATACATACATACATACATACATGCATGCATGCATGCATGCATGCATGCATGCATGCATGCATGCATGCATGCATACACACACACAATACGCACACAAACTACTGCACAGACACTACGAGCTGCTGTGGTGTGTATTGCCCACAAACGACCACCACAACGACCACTATGCCACCAATCCTCACAGCAACACCCAAATAAGTGCCAGTTTGAGGACCTGGCAACTGCCCGTCACTCTGTTTTTTACCTAGAGCTGCCGTAGGAGAGCGCATTGCAACATCCGCACCTCTTTCCTCGTCAGGTTCCCCGGGTCGCCGGTGCGGTAGCCGATGTACCTACCGAGAAAAGGCAGGATTAAGGGCTTGAGGGCTGGAGGGCTGGATGGTTCAGGGTTTGGGGGGGCCTTTGGGTTCTAGGCGTGTAGCCCGGCTCGCACCAAGATCCTTGTTGGAAAACTCCCAGAAAACTAGCACGGCACAATCAAAACAGAAGCTTGTCAGGCTTCCGAAAGGCCAAAACCACGAAGGAACACAAGCCGATGATTCATTGATAGACCGGACAGGACCCCAATCGGCCCATAGATCCCGCCGTGAACCAAAGACAAGCAGTCAGCTGACCAGGAGCTGCAACCTGAAACCTCAACTCCTTAACTCCGAACCTTTAACTTCTACAAGCTTATCCCAAAAAAGAATCCTTTTTCGTCCTGTAACCCTGGAGTCCCGAAGCCTTAAATCCTAGAAGAATCTAAACCCACTCCCTGCACTCTTGGCCACGGCCGTCTTCCTCCTGCCCTTGGCGCACGAGGTGTCGACTTTCCAGGCACCGCTTTCCTCCGACGGAGCGGGCGGTGGAAGACTGCTTTTGAAGGGTTTAATTAAGGTTCAGGGTTTAGGGATTGCAGGGATTGCAGAGATTAGGGACTCAGGATTCAAGAGTTTGTTGGCGGTGAAGGGTGTTGGGCGTATGGCTTTCAAGGTTTAGAGTTTAGGGGTTGCGGATTTCCGTGTGAGCTTTATGGCATGAGGGCTCCTATCTTGTGTGAGCATAGCTGTTTGCTGCTGTTGTCTCGAAAGGGAAACCAAGAAAAGCGGATCAGTGCATAACAACACATTCATAATTCATAATCAGTATTATACAGCATTAGATTATGCGTAATTAATTTTTCTACTTTTTATATTAATTAATTACATCATATTACTTTCGGTTGTGCTTTAGTGTAGAAACCCTGGGCAGAAGGGCAAATGACTGCCTTCCGCACTGAGGCCGATGGAGCCACCCGCTCCGGCGCCGCCCTTGCACAGGGGCTAGGATTTAGCTAGGGCTTAGGAAGTTTATAGGTTCGGTGACCTTAGGGTTCGGACTTGCAAACCAGCCATCTGTGTAAAGACAGTGGTGACAATGGCCCATCAGAAGTATCTGCAGAAATTTCCCCTACACCCGAAGACTGAAAGCCCTCCAACCTCTTTGTACCCTTCTCTCCCAAAAAACCTATTGGATCCCAACAGCAGCCCTCAGAAACCGTATCAAAGCCACATAAAACACCGCAAAACCCCTCTACAAAAAAAACATATAACAATGGCGACGAAGAAGACGAAGAAGGAAGCAGCGTCAGCAGCCCTAGAAACACCCTCAATAGCCCCCTGAGGCCAGCACCCAAGAACGGAGCGCCGGCCTTCCAGGCGGTCCACCTCGCCTCGTTTGAGCCGGGATTGGGAGTGAAAGGGCGGGGGGTTGCTATTGGGGTTCTTGAAATTGTTATGGGTTTTGTGGTGGTTGAATTTAGGGCCTCGAGAGCACGTATAAACGTTCGTCCATGTATTCGTTTACATTCGTATCTTCTGCATGTATGAACAGCAACTTGCACGAACATGTACATCCAGCGCTTAAAGAACACGAAGCAGAACCACCCAATTCTATGCGTGCACATACAAAAACTTGACGCCTCACTCTCTCGCTCGCTCTTCTCTCGTTCTCTGATTCTGCCGCCCGCACCGGTTCGGTGGTTGATGTACCTGCGACAGCCCCAGCGGCCCGCATGTGACGAGCTGGCACCAGGTCCCGGCGCACGAAGTGTCAACCTTGAACTTCCCCTCCTCGTCGCGCTCGCTTCCTGCAGAAGTGACCCAACAAGTCCAACAAGAGCACGGCAACAACACAACCAACGATGAAACAAATAGAGAGAGGGACAGAGAGAGAGAGAGAGAAAGAGAGAGAGGGAGAGACAGAGAGAGAGAGAGAGACAGAGAGAAAGAGCAAGAGAGGGAGAGGGAGACAGAGAGTGGGCGAGAAATCTAGAAGCGAGAGACCGATACAGATACAGTTGCAGAGCATGCACACCCTCTCACGTAAGCACATCCGCAGACAGAGACATACAAGTATGTAGCTCCATACCTGCAAAGTGCAAAAGGTGTTCGGGCAGGTAAACATGTATGCATAGATGCTCCCGTTGTTGTGGTTTAGCTGCTGGCGGTGACATGTACAAAGTATGCATTTAGACAATGCATACCTTTGGTGCATCGCTGTTGGTAGACACAGGATTCAGTATAGACCAACTAAAAACAACATATGCAAATCCGGGTACGGATACACAATAAGAGACAATATGTGGATACGCAGCAAGATACATTTGCAAACAAGAACACAAACACCAATACACCTTTAAATGCGCATCTGCATACCCAAACATACACATGTACACATATAAACATGTAAGCGTATTAGCATGCAAACACACACCCATGCACATATATATATATATATAAACAGACATATAGACATCTAGACAATTAGACGCGTAGACGTATAGACATTACGCATATAGCCATGCAGACATGTTAAGGAAGATATCATTCCTGACATACATACATGTATCCATCCATACTTACGTACCTCCCTAGGTCGTAAACCCATACATGCGTACATACACACATACGAGTTCATACATACTACATGCATGCATGCATACATACATACATACATACATACATACATACATACATACATACATGCACACATGCGAGCACACGCATCCTAAAAACCCTAAAAACCCTAAAAACCCTCAAAACCCTAAAAACCCTAAGAACCCTAAAACCCTAAAA